TGTGTCTGACTGACTCGGGATCAGCTCAGTGTGTCTGACTGACTCGGGATCAGCTCATTGTGTTGGCGTCTCTCACCGCAGCGTCTCGTTGTAGATCTCCGCCATGCTGACGGAGATCTTGTAGTCCCAGTCGGGAGCTTTCTCCGTCACCTCAGAGAACAGCAGGCGGAGAGCTCGCTGGTTGATGCCGGGGTTGTCCACCTCGCCCTGAACACACACACACACACACACACACAGATATGTACTATTATTAAATCAAAGATGTCTGTTGGACCGGACCTCATGGTGACAACATTAAAACACTGAGCGTACCTCCATGGTGTAAGTTTTCCCCGAGCCCGTCTGTCCGTAGGCGAAGATGCAGACATTAAAGCCGTCGATACAGGAAGTGACCAGAGACTGAACCTCCAGAAACACCTGATGGAACAAGTATAAATTTGAGGTTCTTAACTTGAGTATCTCCGAGTCCTGAAACTCGACACTTAAGTGATGTAAAGACTTCCTGTCCCCCACCTCTTCCTGCGTGGCCTGAGGAGGGAAGACTTTGTCCAGTTCAAAGGTCATTATTTTGCCCTTGTTGGAGAGGTAGAGGATGGCGTCATCGTCTGAGTCAAAGCTCAGCATGGTTTTGGCGTCGGCGGAGTCCTGCTCCTCCTGACTGACCGGCCGGACGCGGCAGAAAACACGGATGTTACCTGGGACAGAGAGGACACAGTGAACATATCCAAGTGTCGCACTAAACATTCAGACACTGACGACAGTTTACAGAACTTGTTTCTTCTTTTTCCACAGCTGAAACATTTCTGAGTCTGATTGTAGCCTCTAGTTGAGTTTCTGATCGTATGAAGGAGCCTTTGAGGCAGCGTGTGGCCCGCCATGTTGGACAAGAACAAACAAACCACAACACTTTATTTTATGGGTCTGTGATTTATGTGGAAGTTTCCAGGGAAGAACGATTTAATCTGCCACTAACTACACATCAGCATGTCTGAAGTCCTGCCCGCCAGATTTCACATAAAATTTAACAGTCTGAAAACTTGATCCAAACTTTATTTGTTGTCATGTGAACAACAGTTAGAGAGGAGCAGTCGTTAGATCTCAGCTCCCTCTGATACAACTCCTTCAATAAGTTTAAAAAGAAATAATAAGACACAAGTAAAAGAGAAGAGTCTAAGATATAAAATCAAATACATATTTGTGTTGTACAGCATTTACAAAGTGAATGAACTGTAATGGAAATATAGATGTATGTATGTATATATATATATATATATCAGAGATGTAAACAGGAGTAAACAGAGAGTGAAGGTGTAACTGTGTGTGTTTGAGGTGAATTTCAGACCTTTGAGTCGAACCAGCTCGTTGTGACATTTCTTCCTCAGGTTCATCTCTCTCTTGTATTTACGCAGCAGCTCCTGATTGGTGCTGCTGACATCACTGATCACCTGACAGATCTGACACACACACACACACACACACACACACACACACGCTTGTCAATATCATAACACAGCTGTTTCTTTACTTTAGTCAACAATCAATAAACTGTTTCTGTTGGAGGAATGAAGATGTGAGGAGAGAGGAAGACAAGGAGTGAGGACAGAAGGAGTGAGGACAGAAGGAGTGAAGACAGAAGGAGTGAAGACAGAAGGA